TACTGTATGACTCCTGTACGCCACCGCAATCGTTTTTACCTTGATTGCAGTCTTCATCCATCAGAACTTTACTAGCGATACTGGTTATCCATACAGCGGTGGGATGTGTTGACAATCCGTTCAGTCTGTACTTCACACAAGCGCGACGTGTGAGGGCTCGTGCTCTTCAGAGACAATCACAGAATATGACAGAGCTCGTGTTTAAAATCGAAACACACTGGAATGAATAATTCACTGAAAACACAATGCGAGTCTCTGTTCTCTCTGCAATCTCTGATGTAATCAGCCTGGTTTCCTTTATATTAGCGCTGTTTTGGACGGATTGTTTGAATGCATTCGCTTACTGGATCATTGGACTGAAAACTTTCCCGGAGTTTAGCGGCTTAAAATGATCTGATCGCAAGCAGAGAAGCAAAGTTGGGTTAAAGGGTTTGAATAGAAATTGTGCTTCAGTAAATTTGCATTAAATTATTTTAACGCGTTGATTGTAAAATTAATCACATACGTTAACGTTAGCGTTAACGTTGACAGCCCTAATTTAAAGTAAGGAACAGTACTCTGATGTACACATGAGATAACGACTGTTGTTTAATTATACTACAAAAAATGTTAAGATATTAGAGTTATTAGACCTAAAAAGTATATATTCTTAAAGTTTAAAATATTATTTTAGAAAAAAATGTAATCAAAATGTTTTTTTTTTTTAAATAACGGTAATAAAAGATTAAAAGACAAATGTTTCACTCAATATCATACAACTTGGTGGCATAATACCATTGACACATTTATCATTGAACACATATTGCATACCGCCTTACATAATACTTTAAAAAATAGTACTATAATATATAATATGCAGCAAGCAGTAAGCTAGTTTTCCATTAAACATTACAATACAGCTTCATAATACAAAATTGCTTAGGGCCCCCTAAAAATACTGCATATTTCAGTAATCATCTTCTCAAGGGAATGTCATGTGTGTTCATCTTTGTCTGCTATCTGTTTTCCATTGTAATAGGCCATTCCATTGTAATTAATATAAATTAATGTTAATTTAAAACCAATTCAGATGGGCTTGCAGCCCCTATGTCTGCTTTGTTTTACTATTACCAGACAAGGCATCCAGTGAGGTACATGACTAAACTATATATTTAATTTGTTGTGGAAAATTGTTTTGTTTATCACCATGAGGATAAGTACAGTAATAATTGAAGAGATCTTCCTGTACCAGTGCCTGGATGCTCCTAGAAAGCTACCTGTCTGTTTCTGTAATGGTTTTTATCATTAAATAGCCACCTGTTTCAGCTAATGGCTCAACATAATGGAGCAAATGAGCCTTTTAGCACATGCACATCACATGCAAATTACACTCACCAAATCCCATGGCACTTGCTGAGACAGCATTGCTATCACTGTAGCCCTACAGGGCATCTTTTTATCTTTCCACTTCCCTCTTTCAGAGCATTTTTTCATGGTGAGTGTATGTGTATGTGTGTATTTGTGTGTGAGAGGAATGTTGTTCATAATGTAGGGCTTTTTAAACCTAGAGGGTTTTCCTGATTCCTAGGTATCTGACATTCAGGTATAGCTTGTCTGAATCTAATTCTGTCATTTTCACAGAGCACAACATTATTATTATTATTATTATTATTATTTATTAATATTTTTTTTCTACACTGAAATTTCTGTGATCACCCTTTTATGTATCACATGCAGCCATCAAATTCACAACACATATTTTTCTTAATGAGTGTTTTTGTCTTGTTTGTTCATAGAAGTAAGACCTGAAAATGTCTGGAATTGTTTTGATTTCCAGGCTTGAAAATGTAATCAAAAAAAAAAAAAAAGTTTAGAAATTTATATAATGAATATTGTATGCATGTATGTATTTATTTGTTTTATTTATACATTTAGGTTCTGCTTTAAAATATTTCATTGCTAGATTTCAATGATAGATACAATATTTGTCTTCAGTAATATAGAAGTGTAATAGTCTTATATCTGTACTTAAAAGGTTAATTAACCAAATGTGTCAGAACCCTTTTACGGTAAAATATCTAAACATCATTAAAACAGGGTAAATTTATTGGATAAGGAAAATTGATAAGGAATTGTTTAATTATTTAAATAAAACCTTAAACAATTTGCAGTGGGGTAAGAAAAATGAACTTAATTCAACAAGTATGTATTCTCTGAAAACACAATATCTACTGCAGGTATGTATAATATCTTAATATTTATTACTTTTCAAGTAAATTTATCATGATTCATGGATGTATCGCTAGATTTATTGGTAAACAAGGCACAAACACAGATTAAGAGAAATAGTTTTGCATTGTAAAATGTGTGGTTTTCTTGCATGCTTTTGGAAACACCTTGTTAGAGCAGAATATTCAGTGTCGAGATCTCAGACTATGAGTGAGAATAGAACCCAAAGTCAAGTGTGTTTGTTTGAGTGTGCAGATGAAGTAAACAGAACAGCCAGACAGCATGCGGCAAGGGAAAGTAAAAAAAAGAGATACAGTCAAAAGAGTGAGATGGCAAAAGAGAGAGAGAGCACATGACAGTGAAGATGAGTCAAGATGAAAGAAATACGGATAAAAGGTTAATGTCGGGGGAAGGCTCTGGAGGCAGGGAGCAACTGCTGACTGTTCTAGCTGTTCCCTGGTTTGTGATTACTGTCACCCTCATCCTTTCTCTCTTCTGTCTCCTGCTGCTTCAGGTTCCCTGTGATCCTGTCCATAGAGAATCACTGCAGCATTCAGCAGCAGAAGAAGATAGCTCAGCACCTGAAAGAGATCTTCGGAGACAAGCTGGATGTGGTGGAGGCTCTGAACAAAGACCCAAAGCAGCTCCCCAGTCCGAACTCCCTGAAGGGCAAGCTACTTATAAAGGTTTGGCATGAACTGAAGACACCTTTTCTCCATTTCTTATTTTTATTTATTTTTTCCTTTTCCTTTTCCTGCTTTTGTCTACTGTTCTCTCTTTTCTTTCTGTCTTTTGTTAAACCCAACTTAAATTTCCATGCTGGTATGGACTAGTTAGTTCTGGTTTGGTGCTGGCGAACCAGCACAGTCTTGACTATTCACCAAAAAATTAGCAGTATGCAGGACTTCCAGATTTTAGACAAGTAAAATAGATAATTTACATAATGATTTGAACGTTTTAAGTCACAAAATATAGCAGTAGATCAAAATGTTTAATAAAATGCCATTAGGAATATAAGAAACTGGAAATGGACCACAATTTTACAAGTTTTGTGCCATTTGTACTGCATGGAGACATTTAGTTATCCAGTTGGACAGACTTGTTGGAAGTTTTGCAAATCCACTTTTTTATGGTTGTTGAGCCCTTAAATGGTTGGCACTGAAAGACCAGCCAGTGATGAAATTCTCTTTCTGGTGGAAAAAAATGGAAATGAGCAGGGACAGTCAGAACGTGTGAAGGGAGAATGAGTGTTAGTTAGAAAGAGATGGGCTAGATGATAGAAAGTTGAGCTGTAATACAGAAGTGAAGGAGTGGGGTTAGCTGTCATAGTCTAGCAAGGTGGGAAAGACACATACACTTGTATTGTGTATGTGTTTTATAGAGATTCTCCATAGGTATATTTTTTTCATACTAAGTTAATCATATTTCCTGTTCCCTGACAGTAACGCCACCCCTTAACATAACCCTCACAGAATGCTTCTGGCATTTTTGAATTTCAAAAAACAATGTTTTTTAAGCCATTTGATTTACATGGACACAGGAAGTGTTTACACTGTAATGCCCATGTTTATGTTGTAATATCCAAGTCATTATACATATTTGTGCTCTCATAAACCATGTCTTCAAGCACACACATAGACACACACTTACAATAATACAACTCTTGCATGGATAACTTCTGTGCAACCAACACCTCAATCTTCCAAAAAATGATGTGAACAGTACCACAATTGTGTTCGTCAGCTTGTAACAATAGCAGAAAAGTGTTTTTGTGTGTGTGTTAAATCCTTTTTTGTAAGGTTACATAAAGAATCATGCTTTGAAAGTGCTGTATAGATTGTTAATGGTGTTATGAACAATCTTTTTTATTAATAGTTTATCTTCATTAATATTCGTTTTTTGAATATTGGGGAAAAAAAAGTGAAATGTGATAAAATATGAAATGTTAAAAAAATGAAATGATACTCAAAATATGTATCTAATGAATGAGTCATACAGTCATACATTCAACCATTTCGTTAAAACAGCTGATTCATTCAGAAATGAAGCAAGTGACAGTAAAGATAGGTTACTGAATTGTTGGCTTACTCAGTTCATTCAAAAACATGGATTCATTCAGTAAAGAAACATTGTAGTGTGTTGCTCTGAGATATACAACAGTTCTGCTGTGGCTTTGTTTGGAACTATGTTCATTGTCGAAATTAAGCAAAACAGGCAATATTGCCTGACATATTATGACAATATTGTATCTAAAACACAATGTTAACTTCTTATTTACTGAGCTATTGTATAAAATTAACTTCACATTTGCTGTGCAGATATTTTTTGTGAAAAAAACAAAACAAAACATGTTTTCTTGTGATATTGCTAAACTGTATCATATGACGTAAATATAAGACAAAACTCATACAGGGGCATTTCTTTCCTTGTATCTTTAGAGGCACATAACTGCATTCTAATAAGCTACATCACACAGACAGTTGTTGTCCTGCATCACGGTTATCAGTGGGGTGCGTTAAATGAGTTAATAAATGTAATGCATTTTTTCCCCATAATTATTGTTTTAAATCGACAGCCCTAGAATAAACACATCAAGAGTTAATTTGTAAAAACAGATAACTCCGTTTTTAAAAATGTTCAAAAATCATGTTTTTTTTTATCCTGCATTCCAATTAATATCAATCAAACTGCAGTTGGGTTGTTTTGAATAAATAATAATAACTAAAAAATACAGCTAATTAACACAATAAAACCATGAAAACACAATTAAAAAAACCATAATAAAAAACAACAACAAATTCCTCGTATGTTTGCGCACACCTGGCGAATAAAGCTAATTCTGATTCTGATTCTTATGATTTATGAAAATTAATAAAAAACTGAGTTATCTGCTTTTGCTCTTCACATGCATAAAGAAATAAATACATACATAAAGAACACAAAATAAATGAAATGAAGGCCAAGTTCCAGTGAAATATCTTCACAATCCTCTATAATGTGTCTTTATGTACATTATTGGTTGCATTTTGGTGTAATTTAGTGGGCAGTTTTTGTCTGTAGATGATGACGTTGTGGGGTGGGACAGCATCTGGAGTAGAGACTGAAGAATCCAAACTCAAATACAAAAAATCATTTTAGAATAAAATGGTTCTTCAGGAAGATATAGTTCTAAACAGAACTGTTACTATGTGTAAAGAACCTTTAAAGAACCATTGTTTTTTAAATACCTTTACAGAATCCTCCAGATATGATTAATTTAAGAGCTTCAGCAAATATAGCATTTCACAACAGAAAAATAGAGATTGATTGTGTGAAAAAGAGAGAGGTGGTGGAGAAAGAGATTATGTCATCATTCACTTACTCATGCCATTTCAAAACTGTCCAACGTTTTCATGTTCATCATAAGATAAGATATTTTGAAGAATGTCCTAGCTGCTCTTTTCCATAGAATGAAAATAGACTGTGGACTGTCAATCTCTAAAAAAGTTCAGCTTGTAGTCTTTTACCCACATAAAGCTATTTTATGAGGCTTCAGAAGATAAAGAATGCATGGACATGTTTAATTATGTTTTTTTTTTTTTTGTTCTTTTTAGACCTTGTAAAGTAAGCGATGACAGAATTTTCATTTTAGCTAACCTACTTAAGGATGTAATGGGATGACAGGTGGTCAGTCACATGAGAAGAGAGTATTGCTTTGTGTAAATACCGACGTCACTGTGCCAGCGAGGAGCTTGGCTTTAGTAAAACAGGTCAAGACAGATGGCACTGCCAGCCTGCTACACTACAGGACCCTCCCAGTCGAGCAAACAGTGACGGCAGACTCTTAAACCCAGCAGGGACCCTTTGTGATTGGAGCACACTTGAGTAAATCCCCCACACTTGAACACAGGTCTCCTTTGATTACACACACACACACACACACACACTTAAGCGTGTCACAATGTCAGTATGGGCTTACATTTCTGCCACAATTCTGCGCGTGAAAGATCATATTTTGAGCGCACAAAAGTGCATTTTGCACACGCGCGATCTGAGTTTGTGGAGAAAATGTTCGTTTCGCAAAGAAAAAAGTCTTTCGAGTGCACGGAAATCAATTTTGCATTTAAAATACGTTTTTGGATGTGTGCAGACCTTCTCTTTTGCGCGTGCAACGTTTCACTAGCTTGTTCACCTGATGCCCCTGCTCTGTGCTCGCTAAATGCCAACAGCTCGCGTGCTCAACACAACATAATTCCAGCCAATCAGAGACAGAGGCTGCTAAATTCTGATTGGCTGCCTTGACAACCAATCACAACATTCCTTGCATTACCTCGACAGCAGAAGAGGAAAAATACAGTGCATGCATAATTATTATGCAAGTTGATATTCTGATCATATTTTTTTCCAAGCACAGTTTACCAATAATTATAACTACTATTAATCTTGTATTTAATAATTTATAATTGATATATAATTATTCATGAAGGCTGGAAGTGAAAAATGTCTTATATTCAGGTGTGCATAATTATTAAGCAGATTTTCTTTTACAAATAAAATGAGCCAAAAAAGAGATTTAACTCAGACTGAAAGTAAAAAA